GAAATTTCGCCCTACCTTCCTCCAGGGTTCGGCCATCCATATGATGGATCTCTCATTCCTTCAATAACAACCAATGATGGGAAGACCGAATAGTACAAGCTTTACAATCGAATCGAGGTCATGGTGTTCAACTTCATATTAACGATTTTGATGGTGAGTTAGAACCTGAAGAGTTTCTAGATTGATTGGACAGCATTGAAAATTATTTTGATTGGAAGGAAATAAATGAAGAAAGAAAAGCGTAGCTTGTAAGAACAAAGATGTGTGGGACAGCCTTGGATTGGTGGAAAAGTTACCAAAGGGACAAAGAAAGGAAGGGGAAAAGAAAGGTTAGTTCTTGGGGAAGAATGAAAGAGAAGCTGAATTCACAATTCATACCACTAGATTATGTGCAAACTCTTTACCAAAAGTTGCAGAATTTAAGGCAATGGGAAAAGAATGTAGAGTACATGAAAGAGTTTAATAGGTTAACTCTTCGAAGTAGTATAACAGAAACTGAACAAAAAAAAGTTAGTAGATATATCAATGGTTTGAAGTTTCCAATACAAGATCAAGTCAGCCTACAATGCCCATATAAGGTAAATGAGGCAATATCAACTAGCTTTAAAGGTTGAAGCTGAATTGAGTCAGAGCTCAAGGTGGAAACTAAGTGCTGTCCAAGGTACATCTTCATCAATAGGTCGAAGTGTTGGGGCTAGTAGGTGTCATGTGATCAACCAAACACAACCTACAGTCTAAGGGACCTCAAATGCAAGAACAATCAAAGGCAGCCTACTGTTAGATCTTTCAGGCGTACGAAGTTGGGATATCATTCCAATGAATGTCCTAAGAGAAAGGATTGAAGGGAAAACACATCTGGTTGATGGTGTCATTGATAAACAACAAGATGATATAGGCCATGTTTAGGATAGACAAGTGGTTGAAACTACTGAAGCTAATGCTTTAGAGGAAGAAAACTTAGATGGGGACATTGTGGGTAAAGCTCTAGTGATACGGCACTCCATAGTTGCACCTCAAGAATCACTACCAAGGGACTGGTTGAGAAAGAACATCTTCAGAACACATTGTACAGCTGGTAGAAAGTTGCGTAACCTGATTATTGGCAGCGGGAGTAGTGAGAATCTTGTTTCTCAAGAAACGGTGGATAAGTTGCAGCTCAAGACTGAGCAACAAAGGAAATGAGGTAAGAGTTTCTTCTAAATGCTTAGATAATTTCTCTATTGATAATACATTTGAAGAATCGGTATAGTGTGATGTTGTCCCAATGGATATATGCCATTTTCTTTTTTGACGCTCATGGCAATATGACCGTAAGACTATTCATTATGAGGACAAGAACAGTAGAACACATACAACTTTGTTAAAGACAATAAGAAGATAACTCTTAAATCAATGCAACCTGAACCATTTCCAAAGAAGGATACCAAGTCCACCACTACTCTCTCTTCACCTCAAATAAATTGGCTCAAGAAGATGGAAAATTGGATGTTGCTTATGTTCTGGTTACAAAAGAAGTCAGCAAAGAAACACATGTTCCATAGATGGCGAAGAAGCTACTTCATGAGTATGCCGATGTTATGCTTGAGGAATTACCCAATGGCCTTCCTCCCCTAAGCAATGTACAATATCATATAGATTTAGTGTCGGGAGCAGCATTGCCTAACTTACCCCACTATAGAATGAACCCTAAGGAGCATGAGGAGTTCCAAAGACAAGTAATAGAGTTGTTGAAGAAGAGGCCGATCTGTGAGAGCCAATGTTTTAAAACGTGGAGGCGTGACGCGAGGCGTTCCACTACCTAGAGGCGTGAGGCGTAATTCAAAACGCAAGAGGCATAAGCCTTCTTAAGAGGAGGGGGTTAGGAGGATGAAAAGGAAGGGGGGATCTCATTTTTTCTTTATTTTTAATCAAAATCTTTTATATTAAGAAGAATAAAGATGCATAACAGTATTTCAAAGGGGGGGGGGGGTTCTTGTCGAAGCGAAGAAGCCCCCCAGCCGAAGGGGTAGGGAGCAAACCATTTTCTTTCCCCTTATCTTTTCTTCCCTTCCCTTTCCTTTTCTTTTCTTTTCTTTCCATTTCTCTTTTTTTCTTCTCTTTCCTTTCCTTTCCTTTCCTTTCCTTTTTTTCTTTTTTCTTTCTTTTTTCCTGTATTTTCATATCAGGCGTGCATGAGGTGCAAGAGGCGTACGCCTCTAGCACGCCTCATGAAAAAAGCGCAAGAGGCGTATACCTCTTGCACCTGAGGCGTACGCCTCAAAGGTATCAGCGCCTCTGGCATACGCCTCAGGGCGTTTTGGGAGCACCTTGCATGGCGCCTCCAAGCGTATGTCTCCCATGCCTTTTAAAACATTGGTGAGAGCTTAAGCCCATGTGTTGTACCAACTTTGTTCACGCCAAAGAAAGATGGTAGTTGGCATATGTGTGTTGACAACCGTGTTATTAACAACATTATAGTTAAATATAGGTTTCCCATACCTCGCCTTGATGACATGCTAGACACATGGCTGGCTCACAAATGTTTTCAAAGATAGATTTGAAGAGTGGGTACCATCAAATTCGTATATGAGAGGGGATTAGTGGAAGACTGCATTCAAGACTAAGGGAGGTCTTTATGAATGGCTGGTTATGCCATTCAGGTTGTCTAATGCTCCTAGTACCTTTATGAGGTTCATGAGCCAATTTCTAAAGCCATTTATGGGGAAGTTCGTGGTAGTTTGTTTTGATTACATACTCATCCACAACAAAGATCATGACAGCCACTTAGAACACTTGAGAGCAATCTTGCATGTCTTGAGGCAAAATCAACTATATATATGAAAAAGTGTAATTTTATGACAGATCAGTTGGTGTTTTTGAGGTATGTTGTTTCAGTCAAGGGGATTGAAGTAGATCAAGAAAAGGTTGAAGCTATTCAAAGAGTGGTCAACACCGTAAACCTTAACTGAAATTCGTAGTTTCCATGGGCTAGTAACATTTTATCGTCGATTTATAAAGAATTTCAGCACTATTGTGGCACCCATTACTAAATGCTTGAAAGGAAGTAGGTTTACTTGGACTCTCACAGTTGAGAAAAGCTTCCAAGAGCTAAATATGTTGATGACCAAGAAGAACTAAGGGTTGGGGTTGCTATGGACTGATATTACTATGGATTTTGTGTTGTGATTGCCAAAAACGACTAGGGGCAATGATTTTGTTTTTGTTGTGGTTGATCGTTTCTCTAAAATGGCCCATTTTATTGGTTGCCAAAAGACTTTTGATGCTTCTCATGTAGTACACTTGCTTTTCAAATAAGTTGTTTGGTTGCATGAATTGCTAAGATCTATCACATCAGGTCGTGGCACAAGATTCCTTAGCCACTTCTGGAGAACTTTATGGAAACGTATGATTACTACCCTACAATACAGCAGTACATTTCACCCACAAACAGATGAACAAACTAAAGTGGTTAACCGAAGCTTGGGCAACATGTCGAGGAGTTTAGTTGGAGACTACTTGAAGCAGTGGAATCTCATCCTACCGCAAACTAAGTCGCCTAAAGGTGTTGTTGATCTAGTCCCCATAACAAGGTTGCGGTGAATTATTGATGATGCCAAGGCTTTAGCTGACTCCATTCAAGAGGTTCAAGAAAATGTACGACAGAAATTGAAAGAAAGCAACCAAAGGTATAAAGAAGCTTAGGATAAGCATCATCAGGTGAAAGAGTTTCATGAGGGTGATCTAGTCATGGTTTATTTGTGGCTTGAGAGGTTTCCTGTTGGGACTTATCATAAGTTGAAACAGAAAAAGATTGGACCATGTCAAGTGTTGAGATGGTGTATGCACATGAAATTGAGACGCCAACAAATGGTCGGTCACCCATTTTTAATGTGGCAGGCCTCTTAGATTACCACGAAGAGCTAGAACCAACAACCAAGGTTGAGCAAGGACAAACACAAAGGGCCAAAAGTTCTAATGAGGTTTGAACAAGTAGGTGTAGAAGATGTTCGGGTCACCAACACTCGAAATGGGGCCTATTTTAGGTTCTTGGTCAAGTGGAAAGGGAAACCATCAATTGAGGACTCTTAGATTAGTGAAGAAGAGTTTATGAAGCTAAATAGAGACATGTGCAAGGCTGCTAAAATTGATGCTCGCATGGGGTTGAGCTCTTTTTAACCCGACAAAAATGACGAGGCCAAAAAAAGAAGAGAAAAAAGAAAAAAAAAATGTGAGTGTATTCTGTATAATATGTTTTTGTAATAGGATCCCAAATTGTTGTTTTTGAGTAGCTTTGTTGACAGTTTGTGTCCAGGGGCATTTTCGTCATTTTATAATTCAGATTCTGATCAAGGGCAGATGGGTGCACATGTGTTGTGTTTTGGTCTCTTGGGTCTTTTTGCAACAAAAGTTATCTTTTAGGGGTTCAGCCCCGACTAGTTTTGTTCTTAAGGAGTTGCTTGTGAGAGGGAACCATTCTAGGGGCTTATGTGTAAATATCTTAATTGGCTGGTTCAGCCCCGACTAGTTTTGTTCTTAAGGAGATGCTTGTGAGAGGGAACCATTCTAGGGCCTTGTGTGTAAATATCTTAATTGGCTTCTCTTGTTTGAGCTGTAGCCCAGCCCCAGTTAGGGTTTTGAGGAGTCAACCCATTTTGTCACATTCCAATCCCTCTATTGCTGCGTGTTCGCGCGGGAGGCCAATCTGATGCCATTGTTTTTAGCTTGATATTTCTTGTGCTTATTGCTGTACACTTGAAGATCTGCATGTAATTTGTTTTTCTATCCACATCAAGGATTAACAATATATATAAAGACCTAAAAGGTGTCAACACCATTGCTGTAACAGGTTGCAGTATTTGTCAACAGACATATCCACACACCTAAATAGACCTACAGATGTATCTTTATCTTTGAGGGAGGAATATATATAAAATAGCTTTCAGTGCATATGATAAAATGTTCAGATAAACAAGACGTTAAATGTCAAAATGAATCATTGGCTCACAGGTTTGAAAGCTTACCATCCAAGCCAGATTTAAGGTAAGGAACAATGAAAGATGAAGGGTTCACTTGATCAAGGCAACTATCCAGCAAAGTGTCTACACATTCAAAAGCTGCTTTTCTCAGCTCAAGGCCATCATCCACAACATGCTTGAAAGGACCAAGATCAACTGTCCTTATTAATTCTTGCTGCACCGGAAAAAAAGTAGCTATTAAAAAACATGGCCAACTGAGAGTAATGAACAAATATTCAAAAAATTAAATATGGTGTTATTGCACAAGATACTTATACAACTTCAAATTTATTTGTATGACATTTTTCTGTCATGTTACAGTAGCCACATTCAAATATCAAACTTTTGTCATAAAAGTTAAAGTCAGGCACATGTTACATCCTATTCAGGCTCTCCACAAATTCCTCTAAAGGCATGGATTTCACCTACCATTGACTCCACTGAGCTTAATATCAATGGATATTTACAGGGTAATTTGGTTCCATCAGGCGCTGGTGCTGTCTCCCGAGCAGTTGTACTCATCAGGCTTAGTGCACACTATATATATACCAAATTCAACGGTGGATACTGCACGCACATTTTTACAGTGTACTTTAAAGCACCAACACTACTTGTATTTTTTGATTGGTAACGCTTTTGATATATTCAAAATGGTACCTTTTCAAAAAAATCCTTTACGCATCATTCAATTAAATTTGGGAAGATAAAACTATTGAGCAATTATAACATATATGTATAATACCCATACCCGTAAATTTGGAAAGCATGATACAAGCATATTAAACAGGATACCCATACCCGTAACGGTGTGAATCATAGGAAATGGAGAGTCGTATCCCTGTTTCCTGCATTTGTGTCCATTCTAGTAACCATAACTAGGAATCGTAACTTCAGAGATTGTGAAGGGAGAATCATAAAAGTTAACTTTGGAACAGTTGGATAGGGGCTGAGGTTCTCAATAGCATTTATCTCTATTGAGAAGCCTTCAGTTGATACATGCTATAGTGTACCCCAAAGTTGAGATCAGGGGGATTCTCAGGTTCTGATCAGATAGATGGAGAAGGGCCAGAAGGGCCTTGGGTGTAACACCATTGTATCAGAGGCAAGATCATTTTGTGCCAGAGGGAAGATGTCATTCAACTCATGGTTTCAATGTTGGAAATGTCACAAGATCCACCTACAGAAACCTCGAGGTAAATTGTAAATTCCAAAAATGCAATAAATCAGTCAAATGCCACATTATTTTGGTTACTACCAAAAAAAGTTGGTATTAACACACTAAATGATAAAACATTTTGAGAAGGATGAAACATTATAAGAATAAAAAGGTTTCTTTATAACAGACAAGAATCAGCTTTCTTGTTATCATAAATCATAATTCCTTTTCATTTTCCTCAAACCGAAAGGGATTCTGCTAGAAGGGGAGATCCATGAATGAACTAGCTGACTGCCTTGCTAAAAGAGTGGAGAGGGGGGATACGAAAAGTGTCTTATGCTGGGGCTATAGCCTACCCAGACAGATATAGGGGGAGTATGACACAGCTACCAGCCTATGACTTTCTTTTTCTATTTCCTCTTTTGTACTTCCTAATGTCTGGTCCTCCCTATTTAAAAGAAAAAGATTGAATGGACTAGAAGAACTAGGGGAAGAACGAAAAGCACATGGGTTGAAGTAGTAGCAAATGACTTAAGTGCTCATAATTTAACAATGGGTATGCCACTGAACAGAGCAGAATGACAATCAGGATTCATGTAGCCAAGCTCACATAGTTGGACAAGGATTAGATGATGATGATTGATTGACTAATTGATTGCTACTAAAAAACATATCAAGATTCTAACTTAAAATTTCTCTGATTTTGATTAGCCCCAATACTCAGGATCAGCAGGACTTCTACACCTATAGGTCAGGAGATCCTCTCAAATACTTGATTTGATCCCCAGTAACATGTGCTACATGATAGCTCAGATACATATAGGTCAGAAGTTCTGAAACTTAAAATGCCTCACATCATAAATTGTTCACAAATGGATCAAATGAATAGGACTGCTAGAGCTTCTACTTGTAAGGTGTAAGAGATTCTCTTAAATCAAACATATAAAACATTTTCAAGCATGTAAACCCCACAATCTCTTTTTTACTTAAATTGCATTACTTCAAATAGCTAATGTGATGTAAAACATATTACATTCCTAATTCTACAAGTCGCCTTTATGCCACGCCCTTCGAGGCAAGCCCAAACAAGTCCATGTTAGGGTCTTTAGTTCTTAATTCTCACACAAAAATAATAATTTTATAATTTTATTTGCCTTTAAGAAGATATTTTATTAAGATGAATGAACGAACAACACTAGCAAACAAGTCCAGCCGCTAGGTTCAAAAAAAAGCAAAAAAGCGTACAATTTTCAAAAGGCACACGCCTGGGCCAAGGCACACCAGGCGTGCACCTTTTGAAAGTGTTGCGCCTAGGACCTGAGCAAGGTGCCTACCCTAAAATGTGCCTCACTTGTGTGAGGCGTGCCTTTTAAACCACTGATAAACACAAGGCCCTTGTATCAGCTAAAAGTCTCAATCATATGATGCAGACATGAAGCACCAACAATGAGAATCATAAACAAAAAGACAGATTGAGGCAAAGTAATAAAGTGTTGGAAATGTGATTTCTGTATGCTTATTTAAAATCATTCTAATGTAATTCTTTAAACTAGGTTACTTGAAGCTGCATCTCATGTCAATTTACCTCTATACTTTTAAACAAGATTATAAATATTAAAACTATTTCCTCTAAGAGACAATTTCTTATAATAATTGCATTTATTGTATGACTGGAAGATCCTCAGGTAATATTGAAAGGTACTAGGTGTTGAGTGAGACTCTACCAAAGGAGATAATAAAGACAGTTCCTCATAGTCTAGAAACACTGTAAAAGTGGGGCAAGATGACACATGTACATGCTTGGCACTTGGCACAAACATGGATACCATATATGGGGTTGTAAAACCACATAAATGGTCTGTGCAGGACATATACTGATATTATCAAACTGAATGGTTCATTGAAGCTCTCAAAGACATAGGGTTTATTTCAAACATTTTAATATATCAAAGCTGAAGTTACATTGAGCAATATTCTTGATAAGTTGAATGATTGGAAGCGATTCTAACTTCTAAGCTTCTAAGAATGCTCAAAAACAAATTCATACCATCAAAGAAGAGAAGAGTGTCACAACCACTAAAACTCCTGTATTTATTCTTCGAAAAGTAGAACGAGTGCAATAAGATTTACTATCTGCAATGAAACCCAGAACGTTTCCTATTTGACTAGGAAAGCTCATAGAAGTGCCCTGACATTATCAACACTCTAGGAGGGAACTTGTACAAAAATATTTTTCCCAAACATCCCAATGGTATAAAGATCCATACATAAAATCCATGCTATGGTGATTAAATCAGATGGTGATACCTAGTGGTTTGTTTTCTTTTTTTTTTTGATAAGTAAAAGATCATTAAATTTCATTTAAATCCATTATGATAGGCATCGTTACAAGAACCCCAAAGGGAGGCACGAGATGCAGCCTCATTGTTAGAACAGAGCTAGTACAGAATTACAATTGCGCCCAATACAACTGAACCCTAATTACCCCTTGCTTAGCTAATGAATCAGCCAATGCTTTAGCCTCCCTCCCCACCCATTGTATACATAGATTCATCTGCTGTGTTAACCACTGAAACTTTTTCATTTCATTTCTATAACACCAAATCATTGAGTCCAGATCTCTTAGCCAACCTACCACCACCTTGGAGCCCCCTTCAATTACCAGGTTCTCCAAGTTCAAGTCTTTTGCAATCTCAACACCTTGTAAGATTGCAAACAGTTCAGCCTTTAAAGAATCTTAAATCCCCACCGGTCCTGAATAAAGTGCTAGTATGATCCCTTCTTTATTTCTAATGACTCCTCCAATTCCCAAAGGACCCGGGTTGCCTTGACAGCTCCCAATCAGAGTATTGTCACATGGAAGGATTGAGTAGCCACTGAATTTTATACATGCAAGGGTTTTATATGACCTAGGAGTTTAATAGTAGCACTTATAGGAATCATAGTATAATTCATATTCATGTAGCCAACCCCATATAGTTGGGACAAGGTTTAGATGATGATGACTCTGATTCTAACCGTAGATCAGAGAAAACAGAATAAACATTCCAATCTGGGTGCTAAGATATAGTATAAAAAAAAAGGCCAATAACAAATGTTGGTCCCAGCTATCTGGAATCTTGGGAGGGGTAGATTTGATAAAATCCTAACCTTTTTCATAGCCCGAGATTGTACCATTATACCAAGTACTGGCCCCTAATTGGATGGAATATCTTAAGCTAAATCCTAACCCAATGTATATGGAAACTCTACTTGCATCTGACACCCCATGGGTGATTCAGTGTTTTAAAAGCGCAAGACGCAAGGGCCATTTTGTGCCTGAGGCGCAAAGCGAGGCACGCACCTTTTTGAGGCAAGGCGCACAATTTTAAAAAAAAAAAAACTAAAAATTCAAAAAAAAATTGCAAAAAAATCAAAAAAAATTATAAAACACAATATTAATAAAAATATAAACTCAAGATTTAAAATAAATGTTTTAAAAAACCTATTATCTAAAATTAAAATACATAAATATAATCTGTAAAGCATATTCAAATGAGAATTTAAAAATGAAATCAAACATATAAAACATTTTCAAGCATATAAAACCCACAATCTCTTTTTTTTCTCAATTGCATCACGTAGCTAATGTGACATATTACATTCCTAATTCTACGAGCTGCCTTTGTGCCACGCCCCTCGAGGCAAGCCCAAACAAGTCCATGTTAGGGTCTTAAATTCTTAGTTTTCACACAAAAAATAATGATTTTATAGTTTTATTTACTTTGAAGAAGATATTTTATTAGGATGAATGAATGGACCTATTTGGGCTGGCCTCAAGGGCGTGGCATGGGGGTCCGAGGGCAGAGCCCCCGGCCCAGCCGCCAAACTCAAAAAAAAAAAGGAAAAAGCGGCAAATTTTGAAAAGGCACACGCCTGGGCTAAGGCACAAGGCGCACCAGGCGCACGCCTAGGCGCACCAAGCATGCACCTTTTGAATGGGCTGCTCCTAGGACTTGGGCGAGGCGCCTACCCTAAAATGCGCCTCGCCTGTGCGCCTAGGCGCACCTTTTAAATCACTGGGGTGATTTGAGACTTTAAATAAAAAATTGCAGCCCCTTAAAATAACTTTTAATGAAGAAAGAAAATGCAAAACGCAAATCTATAAAGAACCTACCAAGTACTGATGAGACATTGCTTTGGGAGCTAAAGCTAAAAATTGCAAGGAAAAGTAGGACTACCAGGACAGTTCAAAGTTTGGTATTTCTGCATGAATATTGATTTTTCACGTCTGATTGAGTCATGAAATGGTACAATAAGCTGTACACATATGAGAAAATCTGCATAAAGTTAAAACAACACAAATATCATGGATATCTTGGCATGATGGTGCAAAACTAGTTTATTTTCTATTCTATTTTCTGGTCACCATCCTTGTACTATGTATTATAAAATACTTTTTTATTCTTTATTTTTTGACATTATAATTATAAAATAGGCACTATTAACTGGATGGCAAGGAGTGAAGTCTATGGTCATGGCACCACCCAATGAATGGCAAGGAGTGCCAGTGCCATATCCAACTGGATAGCACTTCTTCCATGTCACTCTCCTCATAACTTACCATGCCCAACAAAAGCAAGGCTTCAAACTAAAATAAGTCTTTTCGGTTGTTGAAAAATGGCTAATCATTCATATGCAGAAGTAAAATTCAGAGTAACCCCTTAACTTGTGTGGGAGCAAAGTGCCTTAATTCTAGACGAGTCTGCACTATGAACTTTGTGATACTTGATGGTCCCATTCAAAGGCAATGTTTCATGAGTCCCACCACATTCCCTTCAATATATCATCATCCCTCTTCTATTGATAGATAGACCTCAAACTTCTAAATCACAAATGCTAACAAAAAGTAAAAATGTAAAATCTCTTAAAAATAAGTAGCCATTACCCAGCAACCTCAAGATCACCACCTATATAGAAAAGCTCCCATCTATCTACAATTTTCAACTCATCCACGCCTGCAGTCATCAATGACAAGCTTATTATCTTACCATAGTTCTCTTGGATCCCCATCGCTGGCTTGTATCAAAATCAAAAGAAACTTCCTCATGCAATAAACAGTTACACTATCTAACATAAGCCAGGTACTTCACTGCACCAAACAACATATACTACAGAAAAAAAAAATAATAACTATCATGAATGTTGTCAAAGGCACATAGCCACATGCACAACATACACCATAGTGGCATGGCATGATGGGCTGCATGGATCAGGTGCCACTCTACACCTGTGGCAAGGTTTCATCTCATGACCGTACCCAGATGTCACTGTTTGCTTTGATGAGCAGAGGTGAGTTCCACCTTGAAAAATAATTACTTAATTTGTTTTTATACAAAAATTGTTTATGATGCAGTTTTGTTTTCGTTTCAGCAACAAGAATCAATTAACAATAAAATATAAAAATAAAAACAAAAACTCTTACATTCCATAACGAAAAGCAGGGCTTAAATTGACAGCTGATAAAACAAAAAAAAAAATAACGAAAAAACAAAACTAAGTAGAACAAAGCATCCACTTTCCAGACTGCTCTACGAATGCACCAAGCACCACATCCCCCATAGTATTGGTGCTTCCTCAAGTGAAACTGGTCCTTTAAATTAAAATAACATAATAGAAAAAAGAACAGGGCTCACACTGGATACATAATATAAGCTTTAGGGCGGAAACTAGACCCATTCATAGAAGATGTTACAAGTAACAGCAGAGGTTCTAGACCTGTGCCACATTGAAGATTTCAAAGTCAATTTGATCTGATTTGCCCCAAGGAATCAAGTTTGAGGTGGATCAGACAAGGAAGTCATAATTTTTTGGGGATAAAGCAGACAAGGAAGTCATATTTCAATGAGATTGAAATAGCTCAGAAGTTGTAGACAGGAGGGTGAAACAGAGAAGTTTATCCATGAGCAGATACAGAGAATCCCAATTTCTTTTAAATTTTTATTGATAATTTAATAAGCAGCTTCAGATGTTTCGTTTTGGGGTAATGGAAGGGCTAAACAGTAATTCATGATGTTAGAGCAGAGGGATCACAAAGAGAAGAATAAGGCAGAGGTTCTGCCAACTGGAGAACAACCTAGTGGTCGATTCCCAGATGAGAATTAAAGAGGAAATTAAAAATGATTGACGAACCTAACAAGAGAATCGAAAAGGAACAATGTACGGGATGGAATAAAGCAATGATCTAGAAGCTTAGTGGTATTGGATTCAAGCAGAAGCTCGTTGATTTAGGTGGTTTCCCTGCTGTGGGGAATGGGAGGTGGTTGATGGCTACTCATGGAGAATATTCACTCTTATATCCTTTTCCTTTTTCCTTTTTATTTTCCTTTGGGAAATATTGGCATTAAACAGAATGAAACAGAATGAAATGGCAAAACAGTATTCACGAAGCCGACCTATATAGTTGGGATAAGGCTTAGATGATGATTGGTTTTGTTTTTCCTTAATTCTCTCTTTCTTCTCTTGGAGCTATGGAGAAATCGGTATTTTGGTGATTGGTGAACATATAAGGATTTTTGGGGTCCAGGTATACCCAACAGAACAACGCTATCCTATATTAAGGTATTCATGAGGCCGATCTATATATAAAAACTCAAATACTTATATATTTGTATACACACACAATCAATTCAGATCTTAATCCAGTCAGAACCAGTTGACCCAATCCTGACATTTATAATCAGGATTCAATATACAAACCCAGATCCTATGTAATAGGTTGGATAGCTTTGGTCTTTTGGGTATACCTGGACCATTGACAAACAATGCTCCACTTAAAAAGATGTGCACCTTGCCCTCACCTAGGCACAAACCTTTTATAAGTTGCCCCGTTTTGTACTTTTTATACATTCTTTGTGATAGTATATTAACTTCTAAGACACATTTTATTGGTGTTATTGCACTAATATCTGGATAGGATCTCAGATAGCAAAATTTCCACTAAAGAAACAACAAAAAGACAATTAATCTCTGATCCATAAAACTAAAATAGAATGAACTGCAACCAAAATATAAAAAAACACCCTTAGACATACAAGCCAAAAATTTAGGTTTGGGGTGCTTCCCAAGAGCCCCCAACCTAAAAGGATTATGAATGGCAAGACATATCACACTAGCCACTTGAAGTAATGCAACTAGGATACAGATACGTCGACAGTTTTACATTATTGAATTGTCAAGTTCTTAAGTACCTTGGTACAGACCACATTTGTTTGCTTTTACAATTTTACTTTCACTTTGAATTTGTCATGAGTGTTATGCTTATGCATTTTGATTTCAGCCAATATGATTTTTAAAACATCTTTATGTTTTAATGTTTTTTTTTTCAATATTTTTTTAAAAACACGTGCCTTGCTTTGTCCAGGCACATGTCTCGTCTTGTACCAAGCACCTTAGGAACTACAAGTCTTGAATGTCCTTGTACTTTTTCTTGTGCAACTCGCTTTTAATAACACTGCATGCATCAGCAAGTAACAAGTTCATATCTACAATACGTAGGTCTAACTCTATGTAACATTGCAAGCTTTTCCTATACTTCTACCTTAACAACTGTTTGGTCATAAAGAAGTGGAAGTAACTCTGGGAGAAGCCCCTTGATGAGATTTGGCTTATTGTGAGCTGCTGTGCTCAAAGCTAGGACAGCTGCACGCCTAACATGCTGTAAAACAATCAAAGAAACAAAACAACGTATTAATAATACATAACAAGCAATGGAACACAGAAAATAAATACGAGAGAAATACAATTGTTAATGCCAGCCTATATGGGTTCCATAAGTACAAATAATTATCTTCAAAGCACTAAGAAGGCAACTTACCCGGTCATGATCCTTAATAAGCATAAGGAATGAGGAGATCTCCGGGTATATAATCTCATCTATCTGTTCTGGACGCTCAACAATTGAATATTTTACAGCAATGACAACAGTCGCCCTAGTGAAAGCAGCAGGACCGGTTGTCCTTATCTGCAATAATATAATCAAATAGAAGAATCATGTCAAGCAGCAGAGTATATTAGAAACCATAAATCAGCATTACAAATGCAAGAGATAAACTTGGATCCAACTGAAAGATACCTTAAGTGCAGGAACAAGCTTTGCAGGCTCTATAAGTGCAATTTTACCAAGACACTCTGCAACTACATTGCGAACACCCTCCTCCTCACTTTCACAGTGATTAAACAGTAATTTCAATATCTTCTCAACACTAGTATCCTGAAACTCAGCCTGACCAGCTTTGTTTAAAGACTGCCTTGCAATAACCTGCAACATGGAAAGTCAATCCGGAAAAAATAATAATAATCATTGAAACCAGACTTCTGCCTCTAGCATTCACACCTCTTTCAAAGAGTGAAGCAATAAATACTGCTTCTTCTGTTGGTTATCAATTTGATCCAGGATGAAAGGCAGGTACTTCGATAGATTTCCAACAGCTATATTTCCCAAAGCATAAGAGGCAGCAGATTTTATTTCCTCAAAAGGAGACTGGAAAGACTCAATGACAATGTTTTCTATGTGTGCATGTGAGCTGAGATCCTTCCTTCGTCCAATTTCCCCCAAACAAAGCAAGGCAAGGTGCTGTTTAGCCTAAGAAAACGAAATGACAAGTTTCAAATATGGAATTAAAGCATAACAATTATTTCATCAAAACAACAGAAAAGTAGTTGCACAAAATTTGTTCTGGTTGTAAAAACCACAACTAATGAGAGCAAACAAAGAAATGTGTTAACACGAGGTAAAAGGTGCAAGGATGTCACATCATAACACTTGAACCAAGATTCAACTTTAATTCAAACAACTACAAATCATTAGCTCTATAAAATCTGTAAATCATGCCAAATTAGTAAGGTTGTAGAGAAAGACCAACATTAAAGTCACCAATCTGTAACTAGCAGTATGCTAGTAAGTAGTAACCTATGTTATTTTCTTAGAGGTTGTAATTTTATAAATTGCTGCAGCAAAATCCTTAGTCTTGTTATCCTACAAAAACCTTTGAAATCTTTCCTGGAAAACAAAATAGTGATATTATAAATAGTAATTGTATTAAGATATGACAACAATCCTAAGTTGATGAAGGGAGAGTAATCTCTTTAAACTCAATTAGACTGATTTGCATCAACAAACAGGTTAAGTAATTCATCTTTCACAATTTACTTACTTTACATAGTTTTTGATTTGCAGTTGAAACCACGTAAAACAGCCCATATCCCTAAGAAACCAGTCCCATCTTAACCATCCGTGAAACTAGCATGGACTCTAATCAGGTTCCAAATTCTATCCTTACCCAAGTTCCTTAACTCGTCTTATAATAGATTGAATAAGAAGCTTATTAACAATGGAGCTCATTAACCTCTGTCTACTCTAGCTTCCATAAACCAAGTAACTTCAATAACTGCACACCCTGTTTTTGTGAAAGAAGATTGACTGACAAAATCACTTGATAAATGTTAACAAAGTGACTACTTATAAAAAAAAAAATGTTAACAAAGTGATAACCCTACTGTGACATTGTATTTGATCAGGATTTTGAAATATTTGTGTATTGTGTAACGTGACATTGCTCTTTCCATTGAAACTTGATTTGTGAATAACCCATCACAAAATACTTGAGTTGTGTACAAACCCAATTACAAAACAGTCTTATTGTGTGGCATAGCAACTATTGGTCCACTGTATATCTAAGGGAAATGATACATTAGCATGAAACATTTGTAAGTTTTTAGAAAAAAAGAAAAAAAAACATTGTATTAGTATGTGTCAGTGAGCAGCGTTGTTAGGTACAAAGCCCCATTAGTCACGACAGAAGACAATACAAAAACGTGATGCAAGCCAAGGCCCTCAAGCAGAGGTTCGTGGTATAAAAAGAAACCCTCAGATCAGTTTGAAAATTCCTGAAATAGATGACCCCAAAAATATCAACCACATAAAATACATCTAACAGAGATAACCTTTCAATAAGGTAACACTGTCTGCTAGGACCACTGGACCTATCCCTATTCCTCATCCATAGATCCACCCTATACGTCCACTCAATAAATAGCCTACATACTCAAGCCCCAAATTGCAAAAAGAGCTCAGCTCTTACTGAACCCATTATCCAACTGGACTACCACTGTTGCCATTTATGAAAATAGTTTCACTTCCACAGGAAGCTGGTTGCCTAGAGAACAAATCAACTAACTATAAGCACTGTTGTAAGACTTCAACCAGACACAGAACCGGAAAGCTTGCCAGGTCACGTGTCGAATGGTTTGCTATAAACAATTAAAGTATGGTTTTCATGTTTAAATAAATTAGTTAAAAACATATAAATTTTATGTTTATTGTTGTTAATATATTTTTTCTAAGGATTTATTAGGATTTCATAGCGTATTCATGTCATATCTTAATTTTTAGGATAAAATATAAAAACCTCCCCAAAGCTTTTGAAAAAATGAACAAATGCCTTCCCTCTGCTACTTTTCCTAATGGAAAATGTATTAATCTTTTAAAATACCAGTTATATATACCCTTATGAGGATTTTGTAAAACAACAGTAGTGGCGACCAGCGACTGAAGCACAACATCGAGAGTGATAACATGTCATGTTTCGACCTAGTTTTGACCTATGGAACAGTGGCTAGCGACGATCTAAGTCCCATATATAGAGGTTATCAACTACTGTTTAAAAAAGGGAGCTTTAGCTCAATGACAAACCAATTGAACCCTTTCGTCTGCTATTGTAATCGTAGCATACCAGTCTATTTTCATAAGAAACAAATGAAGAAACAGGAGAATGGGAAGAAGATGAAATTGGTTTGGGTATGGATGTTGATTTCTCATGGTAGATCCAGTGTTTTAAAAGTGCAAGGCGCAAAAAAATCGCAAGGGCCAAATGGAATCCAACATCCAACTCCAAGGATTTTTTTGATGAAGATGGTGTGGTGGTGCATGTAATAGGCTTGCCATTCCATCTATGGAAACAAGAAATAGMAGRGTCTATAGCTGTGTTGTGTGGAGGAATCTTGAAAGGTGCTTTCTGGGGCGATCTCTATTCAGTAGCAATCTTGCTAAGTGGTGTGAAGCCAGAAGAAATTCCA